AGTCATCTAAATCATCCGTCGATCTGTAGCCGGCAGAACGACATTAGGTAATCTGAGGCCAACAATAGTTGCCGATGACGATGATGAATCATTGATGATCACCGATTATCACGAATCTGAGTCATCTGAGTCACCACTTCTGTAAACTGTGTCAGTCAATGCCTCAATCTTCTCAGTGGAAGAATCAGACATTTCTTGGCTCAGCCCCCAAATGTTGTAGGGTTCAGTACAGATATGAACTTAGTAGTGATTCTATACCTTTCAGAAATCTTTTTGGCGGATTAGGCTACCGATTCAGCGGATAAGAAAGTCACCTTCGCGGATAGGGACCTCAATTTAGTGATGAGAGTCGAATAGCGAAATCAATTTCGCGAATAAAGACATCAATTTCATGATTAAGGAATGTAATTTCACGAACAACGGCATCAATTTCGGGGTTAGAGTTCCAAGTACATAAAAGATTCTCCGTGCTGCTAGAATTGAGTGATAACGTGTAAACGAATCCTTCATGCTGCGCAGAAACATCCTCCCCGAAATTATTTCTGGGAAGATGTAGCCCAGGCGGAACCAATGACAGCAATGAAAGCTCATAGGACAGTCCTCGCTAGTATCGCATCGTAATCTCTATTACCTCACCTGATCGTGTTACAAGCTACACGGGATGTTACTTAGATCTGGAACGAAATTATCTACTCGTGATCGCTGTGCTTTCTGTCACGAATCAACAGGTTTAACTCCCTTTACACATCCGTCTAACGACGCGACTGAACCACCTGGAACCACATCTACTTCGAGATCACTACTGGTTTCTTCAACTTCGCCCCTAAGTCGTCCCGTACAGCTGCAACGGCTCGCAGCCCTCAGCCTGAAATAGATGAGATAGGAAGCCTTATCACCTATTATGGCTATCCCAAGTGTTGTTGAGTCAACCAGTGCGGGTGTTACTACTAACAACTCTATGCCACATAGACTATGTGCATGCGTGCAAATTTATAGTAACACGTGTAATGTTTTTATGGTGGTCCCTGACGTATTACCGCTATATCTGTTGTGCCTGGGCTGCCCACAATCCATTGCCAATCATTTACAACAATTGAATGGCAATGGTTTGTGGTCTAGGCATATTGATGTTCAATACCTTCTCTTTGTGGACGTCCATCTCGGCCTCCTGCCTTCGATGTGCCTGCGTGCAATATTGCACAATCGGCTGTCCTCTGGCGCGCGTTGTTGCGTTTTTTGCCCAGTTTTGTCGCTAACATCTGTTTGAATGTCACCTTCCCCAGAAGTGAGCATGTGGGAGTCCAGTGGACGAACAGAACAACGAGGCGATGGTAAATCCTACTCCCCTCCTTTCCATGAGAATCCTTACTCTCAGATGATCGTCGAGGTGGCTATAGTGGATGGAATACATCATATAAGGGCAGCAATCAGTCCAACTGGAATGGTAGTCGTTATGGTGATAATAATAACCGAGGACAAGGCAAGGGTTGGTCGTGCTCAAAGATCGTGCTTGGTTAAACCCTTGTCGTTATAGGTGGCGAACGTAATTGGACCGTACAGGGTAATTATCGGAATAATGGTTACAATGGGGGAGGATATAGAAATGATCGCTATAGTGGAGGCGCTAACTGGAAAGGTGGTCGACAGTCGGGTGGTGGCTATGGCAAAGGAGGTTATAATAATAGTGGTGGTGGAAAGGGATATGGCAGAGATCGATACGATGACTTGTGGGTTGATAGGAGTATCTCGAGGTGTGGTATGGCGTTGTTCAGGAGCTGGGATGCTGGTATCGATTGGGACTATGAGAAGCTAGCACAGTTCAACAAGGATTTCTATGTGCCTCATCCGACAGTGGAAGGTCGAAGTGAGGGAGAGGTTGATGATATTAGAAGAGCTAATAGAATTCAATTAATTGAAGCTCACGGGATGAAGGTAGTACTCACTTGGGCCTGTTTCGTATCTTACCAGAAGCGACCTTGGATTCCTCTCAGTGCCCCAAGCCCGTGACCACTTTCGAGGAATCTAATTTTCCGGATTATCTGGTAGGCTCCATCGGCCGTGTACAGCTGCTGCTGCTCAGCATTATGCTGTTCAGATTTCCACCCTAAACCAGCGCTTCCCAGGAGGGCGTCCATCGGCGATTCAAATGCAGGGTTGGCCCGTGGCAAGCAGTGGGAGGGATCTCGTCGGAGTTGCCGAGACGGGTAGTGGGAAGACTCTGGCCTACCTCATGCCGGCTATTGTTCACATCGCCGCCCAACCCGAGGTCGAACAGGGTGATGGACCGGTGGCCTTGGTCTTGGTACCTACTAGGGAGCTGTCACAACAGGTAGTGGAGGGGGATGAGGGAGTGAAGTAAGGGTAAGGTCAGGTTCATACCGAAGCGAAGCTCTTAGCCGAGTCGATGCTGCAGATCGGATCGGTTCCGCTGAGGATTGCCTGTGTGTATGGGGGACAGCCCAAACGGCAACAAGAGGTGCGTGTGATGGTAGTGAATTTCGTGGCGTGTGACGGTGATCTCCTCAGAGGGAGCTGTGGACGGCTCCGGAACTGCTGGTTGCGACTCCAGGTCGCTTAATTGACTTTTTGCAGAATGGAGCTACTAACCTCAAGCGTGTTACGTGAGAAAATGCCGCGACTGGGGTTCGAACCGGGGACCATCCGGTAGGTATCTCGTGATTGACGAGGCTGACGAGATGCTCGCCTTGGGTTTCGGGAGGCAGCTCGATTCTATCTGCTCGGCAATCCGCCCGGACCGTCAAACTCTCATGTGGAGCGCCACTTGGCCAAGGGAGGTAACAACGCTACTCGCGCAATGAATGTTCGCTCTCTCGGCGGGGTCTAGTTATAGAAATTTACGTACAAATTCGGGTAGAAGTGTGCAGAAACCAATGAAAATTTCCACAATTTTCCTCAGAAATTCCGCAGATGTCACCTACACATGTGGGATCGATTTTAGATACAAGATTTGGCACGCAAGCACTGTCGAGAGATGCCCGTGCATATCAACATTGGCAGTCAGTCCTTGGCTGCGTGTCACCAAGTGAGGGGGGAGGGGGTGATAGGGAGGAGTAGATTAGGTGTCGCTGTAGGTGACGCAAGATTTTGTCTTTCTCGAGCATCCCGGGATGAAACAGAAAGAATTCATGGATAATGTAGTAGTTGAATTCAGGGGAAGTGGTCGAATAAAAGGTGATGTAGGTAATTCCGAAAGTCTGGAATGTGCTGGAGAGTAATGGAGAGGCGAAAGCGTTGATTTTCTGCAATACAAAAAGGGAAGTCGATCAGCTCACGCAGCTGTTGCGAAGTCAGGGGTAGCTCTTGCTGAGAGGTTGGCCATTGCTGACGATCCTAACAGGTATAATGCTGTTTGCATTCACTCTGATAAGGAGCAGTCTGAGAGGGAATGGGTATTCGCACAATATAGAGATGGAGATGTGCGTTTGTTAGTCGCCACCAATTTGATGGGTAGTAATTCGAATATTACCTCGACGATTTGAATCCTCATGTCAGGTCGAGGAGTTGATATTAAGAATATTCAGTTCGTCATCAACTATGACATGCCGCAGAATGTTGAAGAGTACCTCAGCATCCCTGTCATGTCTCTTGTAGATAACTTGGTTTAGGTATGTCCATCGTATCGGACGAACCGCCCGTGCGGGAGCACATGGTACTTCCATTACTCTGTTCACAGCACAGGAAGGAAGGCATGCGAAAGATCTCGTTGATATCTTGAACGAAGCTGGGCAGAACATTCCTGAGTTCCTACTGATGTTGAAAGACAATCCGTAGGGATGTCATGAAGTGGCTACTCCACTGGTTCTCATTACTCGTTCCCTATCAGGTATTGGCGACCTGGTTTCTGAGAGATGAATTGGAGTAATGTGTGATGAGATGTTGCGAATTTGACCCGCTGATCTGCTGTGAATCTGCAGTGTTCTTTCGGAAGCTGAGCTTTCTACGTTTTTCATATACATTGTTGGATTGTTACGGGCGAGGGAAGTGTCAGAAAGGTACGGTGTTGACATGCAGGCTGCAGTTGAGTATAGCCGTTGCAAATTTGCAACCTCTGTCACGGCAGAGTCTCACTATCCGGACTTGGATCGGAGTTGTCATGGTCAGCAGACGAGAGCGAGTGATCGAGAACGAATGCAAATTCATGGCTGATAATACCTACTACATGTTATTCACCCGATGCCTGTCTCTCGCTCAGTGGCATTGTCGCCAAGAGGGAAAGATGTAGCCGGGTTCCACAACTCGTCTTGCTAGATACGAAGTAACATCAAAGGTTTGTGTAGACTCGCTTAAAAGACTTGCAAATTAATAGTCACTACCCGGATTTGAACCGGGGTTGTCACGGCCACAACGTGACGTCCTAACCACTAGACGATAGCGACTCTGTATTATAAACAGTGGAGGTCGCTTGATCGCTGATAATACCTACTACATGTTATTCACCCGATGCTTGTCTCTTGCTCCGGTGGGCAACCGATGCATTCCTGGAGTTTAGCCATCAGAAGGTACTCAACTTCATCAACAATTGCGCCTCATACCACGCGACTGTCTCGGCGCGCAGGGCGATTTAGCATATATTGCTGTGTCATTCATAGCATGCTGCGTGGCCGCAATGAATCGATTGTGTGACTTCTGAGCCTGTGTAAAGTTGGGCTACCTTGGAGAACTTCATCTGTGTAAGTGCACTCTATAGAACCGATGGATGACTTAGATGTGCGGCGCAAGAGCACATGTGCTGGACATGCGCCTCGGAGGTGCATCTCTCGGCGCGAGTTCTGTAGGGTAGTTGTACTCGCAGTAGTGATGTGTGCCAGGCCGGATATGAACAGTTCCGACATTACTCTCTTCGTCCCCAATTCCGTACTTATTATCAAATTTCATGTTCTATTGTCACGTTGCCAAAAGGAGTTTTGAAGACTTGAAAACGTAATAGGAGTTTTATTGAGTTTTGGAGAGGTGGTCAAACAGCCATCCAGCAACGATACTCAGTGTGAGTGCGCGCCCCATTTTCCGAATGCTACCGCGTGACGCATCATCATCGAAACTGAGGCCCGAAAGTGATTCTCCCATCCGACCACCACTGCGAAATCGATGTCTCTAATCGTGAACATGAATCATGTTATATGATCTCTTCACCCGATATACTAGTGGCCTTCATCGCCAAATAGATGTGTGTAAGGCAGAGTCTAACTTAGCCGTGTTTTCGGCGTTGGAATTCAAACTCACAAAAATAAAGGTCAATTTATTGGGCTAGGTCAACAAACGAGCGAATGGTTTGTGATGTGGTTGGGCGGTGTTGGATCGATTAATATCCAGTTACCATTTAGTTAATGGGGACTTTCCTGAACCCACCCGCTCGCATCCGGCTTAAGTTGGTTTGGGAGGCATGAGTAGTCAAGCGAGGGTCATAGGCCAGAGGCTCTGGCCCAGAGAGCACCGAATTGACTCTCTGTGGCAGATGAGAGTATCCCATAATCTCGCTGCTACTTATGCGGAGCGAAGCATCCAGCGTTGCAAGTTTCAGAGAATTTTTCGACAGAACTTCGAGGTTGAGACTTTCGGATCTCACTAGTTCTGTAGCAACGTATCATGCTTTCGCCCCACTACCCACTACTCCCAACTAACTAAATGAATGGATGTTATTGGACAACAGACATTCGACAATAGTATGGTAGAGTGTTCAGGGTAAACCAGCGAGCGAGTAAAGT